TCACTTTGTAGCCCAGGCTGGTCTTGAACTTGGCAATGATCCTCCTGCCTCAGCCTCCCTAGTGCTGGGATTACAGGCATGCGCCTCCATGCCCGGCCTAAAAGGTGTTTTTATTCCCTTTCTAGAAGAAATAAAAGAATCTCTTGCTGATGAAGAAGAGGAAGATAGTGATGATGATGTTGAACCTATTACTGAATTTAGATTTGTGCCTAGTGATAAATCAGCATGTGAGTATTCTATAACATTCTTTTCCTTTATGTACTAAGCATTCCCCCCCATTCTCTCTCTCTCTCTCTCACACACACACACACACACACACACACACACACACACCTTGTTGTTTACCTTTAGAACCATTACCTTCTATTGCTTTTTCTTCATTTTTGCATCTGTAATAATGAAGACCAGGTACCTATTCATAGAAAAGATTATGACTGTAGTGAGAGTACTGTAGGTACTATGCTACCTGGTATATTTTGGGAGTGAAGGAGTCTAGTTAATTTTATTGCTTGTTGCTGTTGACTGTGAGAATCCAGCAAATGGATGGCAGAGGGGTCACAGCACTGTGACCAAGGATTTGATGGCTGTCCTCAGAAATCCAGCCAGCCATGGAGATTTCAGTGGTGCCTCTAGCCCTTGTTCTGTGACTTGTCCACTGTCTCAAGTGCTTGCTGGATCATCCTCCGTGGGATTTTGAAGGTTTTACGTTGTTACCCTGGACACTTTTTGTCTACTCATTACATTTACTTGCAGTGATGGTTGTTTTTATTATAAAATTTTATTGTACATTTAAAGAGTTACAACTTAATATCCTTGTTCAGTGGAGGCGATGTTCACTGCAATGTGTGAATGCCAGGCCTTGCACCCAGACCCTGAGGATGAAGACTCAGATGATTATGATGGAGAAGAGTATGATGTGGAAGCACACGGTTAGTGAAATGGATCTTAAAGTACTTGTTTTAATGTCTCATTTCAGGCATTTATTTGTACTGGGGGGGGGTTGGGCATTATATAGTTCTTTACAGCTCCTTCAAATATTCAGCATAATGGTTATAAATAAAAGTGAGCTGGGCTTGGTGGCACATGCCTGTAATCCCAACATGTAATCCCAACACTTGAGAGGCTGAGGCAGGAGGATTGCTGCAAGTTTGAGGCTACCCTGGGCTATACAGTGAGGTTAAGGCCAGCCTGAACCACATAGTGAGACTTGTCTCAAAAAGAAGAAAAAAGAAAGGAAGGAAGGAGAGAGAGAAAGAGAAAAAAAAGAGAAAGAAAGAAAGAGGCACTTAACAGACAAATTAGAAAAATGTATGGGCTTTCTAGGTTTTTGAGGGTAGAAATAAAAAATGTTTGGAGGGAAAAATGGACATACAGAGACAAATGGAAAGAAAGCATATGGCAGAAAGAAAGGGTAATCAGGAAAGTCTTAGGCTGAGCCCTCTGCCCCCAGAGATCAAGCCACCCCTTGAGAGGCTGGGTCAGCCTTATTTAACATATTTCTTGAAATAGCTCACTGCCAAGGTCATTTCTTTTTTTCTCAGAATCATACTTCATTTATCTAAGAGTGTTTCCCGTTGCCTTCCCAGAGCAGAATGCATTCACCAGCCTGGTAGAGTTGTAACTTGAGGCATTTGCTGTTCCCTGTGCTTTTCCTTACACCAATCTGGGTGCCCAAACCCCTTTCTTCCTTGTGTACCCAATTCTCAGCCTGAGACAAACTGATGTCTAGAATTCTCCTCCTTCACATACTATATTTCCCTGAAAATAAGACCAGTTCTTACATTAATTTTTGCTCCAGAAGATACAATAGGGCTTATTTTCAGGAGATGTCTTCTTTGTTCATGTAGTACAACAATCTACATTTATATCATGTAGTCTATACTTACTCATTTAATCTTATGTATAAAAATCCATATTTATCTAAACACAGTCTTCATTGTCTTCTGAAACATCATCCTAAACTCTCCAAACCCCAAATTCTCGCCTGAATTTCTTGTGACTCCACTTCCTGTAGAAATAGTGGCCTCAATCACATGCCCAGCAATAGAGCGGTCCTTAAATGAGTACTTCTTGTCCATGTATCCTGCTCATTGTACATTGGTACAGACAGCTGTCAGTGATTTTTTTTTTTAACAGTGATAGAATTTATTTGAAAAAGTAAAAGTGAAGAGTGAGAGAAACTGGCTCTGTGGATTGACTTGGGCCAAGTAAAAGAGGAAAAAGCAAGATAAAAGTACACCCTGGAGGACACAGGGAGGGCTATTGTGAGGAAAGCCGTGATAGGCTGTCAGTGACTTTATCCCATGACTTCTTCACCCAAGTCACAACCTCTTGCCGGCTAGGCTTCACAGAGTTTCCATTAGTCCAAGGGTTAATGGGAGACTTACAAGACAGAAGTACCGACAAAACTGATGACAAGTAGGAATAATGGTCCCCACAAAAGTGACAAAGAAATGAAAACATTTTATTTCATGTGAGTGTGTTAAGTATATCTGTTACAACACTTGGTGTATTAAATTATGAAGATTCATACTGGAGCACAACCATGCCCATTCATCAGCAGGCGTGCATGTTATGCACAAGTTGTATCTGTACTCCAGTTGGTTATTCAGCAGTTAAGTCTTGAATTCATCTGTTACGTAGGAGTTTACCTCGATGCCAAAGGCTCCCACTTCGGTATTCATAAATACTTCATTATAGTTTATGTTACCATTTATTTTAAGTATTAATGTCAGGAATATTATTTATTTTTGGTTGTATATTAATATTATTATTTTATAATGCAATACATCCATTGTGGGTTGCAACACATGTACTACCAGTAAATGCATCCATCTAGCTGACAGTCTAAACTAGAGGTTATTTTGGGGATAGGGCTTATATTACAAGCATCCTAAAAAATCATTCTAGGGCGTATTTCTCCAATTAGGTCTTATTTTGGGGGAAATTGATACCTAAATATGTCCTTTTTGAGATTTTTGACTGATTTTTTAATCCTTTATGTATTTCCAGACTTCTTTTTTTTTTAAAATGAGCTTTATGGGGCTGGGGATTTAGCTCAGCGGCAGAAGCGCCTGCCTGGCAAGCGCAAGGTCATGAGTTCGGTTCCCGGTACCGGAGAAAAACCAAAAAAAATAAATAAATAAATTAATTAATTAAATGAGCTTTATATTAATCAGAAAAAATACCTTCCATACAAATTAATATCAAATTAATTTTGCTTTCATCTGTGAAACTACCTTCAAACTCTTTCTGTTTTTTCAGAACAAGGACAGGGGGATATCCCCACATTTTATACCTATGAAGAAGGATTATCCCATTTAACAGCAGAAGGGCAAGCCACATTGGAGAGATTAGAAGGAATGCTTTCCCAGTCCGTGAGCAGCCAGTATAACATGGCGGGGGTACGGACAGAAGATTCAGTAAGAGATTATGAAGGTGAGTATCCTTTCTCATCAGTGTGAAAAGATGGCACTTGGGAAATAATGGAAGTTGTAAAGAAACATATTTTCTTTTGGAAACTGTAGGAAAAATACCAGAATTAATTTCAAAATAGGAATTCTTATGTTTTTTGTTTTGTCTTTTTTAGTAAACTCCCTCCCTGTGTCTATATCAGCTACAAAACTAAGCTTTGTTCATTATGTTCATAGCCTTCTTTTTGCTAAGGATCAAACGTAGGGGCTCACTATGCTGAGTAGGCGCTGTACCACTGAGCCACATTTCTAGCGCCAAATATTTTTAAAATGCTCACAGGCAAAGAAATGGAAAAGCATTTTCAAAGAAATGAAAACAATTTTGACTGAGACATACTGGCTATTAATTTTCTTTTGTAAATCTGTGTTAGTTTGATAATAAAGTACCATAGACTGCAGGGCTTAAATGATAAAAAATTTCCTGTGTCATAGTTACAAGTGTAGGATTGGTTCTCTGAGGCCATGAGGGAAGGGTCTGAATGAAGCCTCTTTCCTTGGCTTATAGATGGCTGTCTTCACCCTGTGTTTTCACATCATCTCCCCTTTGTCCACATCTCTGTCTGGATTTCCCTGTTCCATGAGTCCTGGTTGTCCAGAGACAGATAAAGAGTGTGTATCTGTTACACACATACATAGCAGGGGAACATCCCTATGTTTTACACCTAGCTGCTACTATACCTGCTATTACCATTTAACATCTGCTATTAAATGGAATAATCCTCCCTAGGAATGTTTCATGTGTGTGCTGTCTTTGTGTATATAGACGTACATCTAAAAGTATAACAGATAAGTAAGTACTAAGAGGGAGGTTTAAAAACAGATCCTAGTGGAGGCTGGCAAGTCTGAAATCTTCAGGGTCAGCTGACAGGCTGAAAACCCAGGGAAGAGTTGACTAATACTATAGTTTGAGTCCGAAGGTGGTCCGCTGACAGAATTTCTTGTTAGGGAAAATTAATCATTTTTCTCCTAGGCCTTCTGCTTCACTTAAAAGTATGGTAGTTTAATGTCAGCTAAAAAATATCTCCAAGAAACATCTAGAATAATGTCTGGCAAACTAGGTACCACAGCCTCGCAAAGTTGACACATAAAATTAATTCTTTTTTGTTGTTGTTGTTGTTTTGTTTTGTTTTTCCGGTACTGGGAATCGAACTCACAACGTCACGCTTGCCAGGCAGGCACTGTGCCGCTGAGCTAAATCCCCAGCCCCAAAATTAACTCTTAACACCCTTCTTTGTGGGTGTGGGTTTGTATTACTGGGATCAAACTGAGCTGCACCCCTAGCCCTTAAATTCCTTATTTAGTAATTTATAGCACATGCTTTAAACTCATACACACTTTGGCTAAAGTGATAATTTTGTCCTTTAACACATTAACATATTAGGACTGCCTATGTATAAAACTTCTTTGACTACACCATTGGTCCATTTTCTGAACTGAATACCACTATCTTGTTTTTTTCCTTTATGGTGCTGGAGATTCAAGTCAGGGCCTCTTCCACATGCCAGGGAAGTGCTTCATCACTGAGCTCCACCCCTGAGCGCCAGCTCCTATTTTGAAACAGGGTCTCACTAAATTCCCCAGGCTGACCTGGAACTCTCAGATCTCCTGCCGCAGCCTCCCAAGTAGCTGGGATTATAGGTCTGTACACCTGCTACCACAGGATTCTTACTCCCCATAAGCCCTCACTACCTGTAGTAGCATTTTAGTGCTTCATATTACTCGTTTATATAAGAAGTTATTTATTGTATTTACATACTAAGGATTGAACTCAGGCCCATCACATTGAGCTACATCTCCAGAGCTTTTTTTATTTTTTATTTTGAGACACAGTGTCTTGGTAAGTCACTAAATTGCCCAGGCTGTACTTGAACTTGCAGTCCTCCTGTTTCACCTTCCCAGGGTGCTGGGATCACAGGCATGCACCACTTGTCCAGTGTAAGAGTCTATTTACTAAACCACTAAACTTGGTGCAGCAAATACAGTAGTGCTCTAGGAAGATGAGGTTACTGTCCGCATGTCAGTGAAATTCTACTGAAGAATAAGTTAACAGTATATGGAGACACAGCCTTGAAATATAGGAGATCTTTAGGAAGCCGTGGTATCTATGCTAGAATCTGAAAAATGAAGAGAAGTGACTGAGGTGAAGAGGGAATATCCACTGATTGGGAGAGAGGTAGAACGATTAGCTGTGTGCAAGGGTTGAAGAGACCAGTCACTTCTGGGAAACTCTAATTTGTTATGTCTGGAACTTGGGAGTTGGAGGGTAGTTATTATAGAAAGGTGAAGTAGTGCATCAAGCTATGTCTTAAAGGAACTTGAAAGTCTCATTAAACAGGTAGGTGTGGTGGCTTAAGTATAGGGAGACCCTCTGTCAACAAAAAGGGAAAAAAAAGGGCTGAGGAGATGGCTCAGTGTGAAGGCCATGGGTTCAGGCCCCAGCACGGGGGTGGGGTGGGGTGGGGGGTGGTGTTGAACATTACTCTTGTGTCAGTGGGAACCCATGAAGAATTTGATGACTTGGTTGTAATATGGGAAATTGATTGGAAAGGAAAGATACTGGGAGAAGTTATGTTATGTGGCCGGACATGGTAGCACACGCCTGTAATCCCAGCACTTGGGAGGCTGAGGCAAGAGGATCTTTGTGAGTTTGAGACCAGCCTGGGCTACAAAGTGAGCTTAAGGCCAGCCTGAACTGCATAGCGAGACCCTGTCTCAAAAAGTCAAAAAAACAAAAAAAAAAAGAAGTTACGTTATGTGACTTACATATTAAGTTAGATGAGAGTTGTGACCTAAATTAAGTATAGGCAGTGAATATCAAAAGACTTGACAGATTTGAGAGATTTAAGAGATAGAACCAACGGAAGTTAGAAACAGACTTGAGTTTTGGGTTTGGGTAGGTAAGAAGTACCCGTTAGCAAGATAGGAAGGAGAAGCATTTTTGCATGGAAAGGTGATGAATTACTTTAGATACATGGCATTTGCATGTGCCAGCAGTGAGATGCCAAGGGGCTCTTGGCAGAAGTTTGATGGGGGAAGAGTTGAGGTGCTAATTGGGGTGAGGAAATAGAGAAAGCAGCTATAAACAAGTCTCCAGACTTACTTTCCCTGTTTCCTGCCCAACTTTTTAATCTGGTGAGATGAGAAAAACAGATGAGCAAGAAGTTCATTCTGCTGATCTTGTCCTTTTTCATGAATGTTGTTACATGTTCTGTGGAGACAGGGCTACATACCTTTTTAAAAAGCCTATCACAAACAGTGCAGATCTGAGAAGAGTGAACAGTTGAAACCTACTGCATTGGAAAGGTCTTACCTAGGACTAGGGATGCAGCACAGTGGCAGAGAAAACACTTGCCTAGCATGCATGAAACTCTGGGTTTGATCCCAGTACCACAAAATGAAAAAGAAAATTCCTGCCTGGAGTCCTTTTAATGTTAAGGTTGAGAATTTACAAAGTAAATGTTCAGTGTATGTAGTAATTTTAACTAAGCTAAATCTACTGGTAGCATTTTCCTTCTCAGTCTGTTTTTGGATATGTACTTCAGGTTTGGTTTTTTTTTTTTTTTTTTTTTTTTTTTTTCAAAGAAAAAAATAGCAACTCTAACCAGCAGAGGGCAGTAGCTTCGTTCTAACTGAAATTATAAATTGAATCTTTCCCTTTTTCAACTGCTCAGTAGAGTATGTCTCAGCAAATAATTTTTTTGTTCAGATGGCATGGAAGTAGATACTACACCAACAGTTGCAGGACAGTTTGAGGATGCAGATGTTGATCACTAAAAAAATGATGTATGTTGCTTTAAGGTGAGTAGTTTATTCTTACTAAACATGAAAGTCATATGATATGATTAATTTTAATTTTCATAACTTAAGAAAGCTCTATAAGCAGTGATTTTTGAAGTTCCTGAAAACTACATGGCTTTTTCCCCCTAAGAAGTCAGTCTGCAAACATAGTATTGTTCAGTTTAACATCTATCATACACCTACTGTGCCAAGCACTGCAGTGGGAATTGTTATGTAGAAGAAAAAGACATAAGTGGACTTAAGAGTTTAACCATTGACCTTAGCCATTTGTTCAGAAACGGAGACTCCCTGTAGGCTCACGTGGGAGTAGTAGAACCTGCCCTAGTCTGCTCTTGAGTCCTTTTCTTGCTTGCAATCCTTGAACCTTAACACATTCGTGACTTGCTACTTCCCACTGCTTTTCAATTTAGGGAGGAAGTAGAAGTAGTTCCAAACAGAGTCTAAGGCATTAATCATAATCTTGCATTTATCTCCCTCATGGAAAAACAATGAGGGACCATGGAAAATCAGTGAGGTCCTAGGGATCTTAGTATTAGGTCCCTGTACTTTTTTGTTGTTGTTGTTTTGTTTTTTTTTTTTCCCCTGGTACTGAGAATCGAACTCAGGACCTTGTGCTTGCCAGGCAGGCGCTGTGCCTTTGAGCTAAATCCCCAACTCCTCCCTGTACTTTTGTCCAAAAGCTATCCTTTCCTAGGCTGTTTCCTATCTGCTTTTCATGGCTGACATATGTAAGAGCTCTTGGCCAGTTTTTTTTCCCTCTCTGGTGATACAGAGCTTTGCCTGAAGTTTGTCCTTGTTTGCTTCTTTGTTATTAGGGGAAAGTATATTATCCTTTGTCAGCTTGAGTATATAAGCTGTATTAGGTAGTAACTAAAGGTCACGTAGCTAATTTATACCATATGGAGCTAGCACTAGTAACCTTCATAATAGTCTTTCCTTTATAAGCTGTGAAATTTTTGCCATTGTTAAATTATGCCACTTTCTATCCTGTAATGGCATTGTCTTCTTGAATTCATACTGTTTTTGAGCCATTGCTTCCCAGGTTCTTTTATTTTATTAAGCAACATTTGTATATTTGACTTAACTGCTGCCTCCATCAGTCTTCCAGTAGTTTGTAAGCTCTCATTATTTGCTGGTAAGTCACATATTTCAAAATTCCTTGTTTTCTTCTGATACGTTTAATTCTGAATCTTAAGTATTCATTAACTTTATTGAGTTGTAATTCCTGTACAGTTTAATTTTATATCAGAAATCAGCCTTTTAAAGTTCCAGTCCTTTCAAAGTATTGCCGTTGTAAATAAAACAATTCTCATACCAATCATGAATTGTGATACTATATCTGTGCTTGCTTTCCAGGTCCTGCCAGTAGAACTATCAGAAAGTAACCTTTATAGAGTTCTGTTATTTCTGTTTGGAATTCAGGTCAACTACCCGGAGAAGAAACATGAATAAACTTTATGAGAAGTATCTCTTTGCCTCTGAGCAGAGAAGACAAAACAAACAAGAAATAGGCCACCAATTCATGAGAAAATTTGTAGCTATTTTGTGATTATTTCACCATTACAAAGCATCCGCAGAATTCTTGCCAGGGATTAAAGTAGCATAAATCTTAACTCTTTATTTCTGCATTCACTATGTCAGTGGCTGCTTATGGTCTGAAATCAGTGATGCCTCCCCCGCAGTTATGTGCACACCACTGGTGCTCTGGAAGCTTTGATTCTCAGCTCTCGCTCCACATGTCTGTAGCTTCTCCTTGGCAGACCTTTTGGTACCAGTGCCGGTCATCTTTGCTTATTTCTTGTTACATTCTTTATAGCATGTTGACTTTTTCACTTAAAGTTGTTTAGTAACTTTTATTGAAACTGGAAGGCAGAATTTTTGATCTTTTTGCTTTCAAGTATTTATCCTTAAAAAATAGACTCTTTAGAGAACATAAACTACTCTGTTAATAATGATCATGAGAAACGCATTTGGACTGACATTAATGGTTATACAAATGGGATGCTGCTATAATCCCTGGCAAGAATTCTTAGGATTCTTTGTAATTGTGAAATAACCATAAAATAGCCATAAATTTTCCCATGAATTAGTGGCCTATTTTTTGTTTGTTTTGTGTTCTCTGTTCAGAGGTAAAGAGATACTTTTCATGAAGTTTTTTTATGTTCCTTGTCTGGGTAGTTGACCTGAATTCCAAACAGTGTCTGTAAATTTATAATCATCTAAAATTATGTGTGCCATTGAAGGATGAATAAGGAATAATTAGTGTTTATGTAACCATTAGTAATTTCTGGATAATGGAACTAGGACCTCTAAATGCATGAGATGGAGTGAAGGGAAGGTATGTGAATGGTGGGATAGTAGCTCTACCACACACTGGACTGTGCCTTCAGATGAGGCATATAACTTGTCTGATCCTCAATTTCCTCATCTGCAAAATGGGGATGATAACTGCCTGGCAGGTTATTGTAAGGCCTGAGATACATTTACTCCCCTGACACTCCTAACAAGGCATTCAATAAATGATAGTTGCTATTGACATTGTCAACCTTTTGTTTTTCAGATTCTGCTCATAACTGTAGAGAGAACTTGGTGCCTCTTCCCTCTGAAGAGAGGTTGATGAAAGTCTTTTTCCTTCTCCAAAACTCACTTAAACCAGTTCTTCCTCAAGATAAACTATACTGAGACAGCAAGTTGTCACCAGCAGAAGAAACTATGACCTTTATTAACAAAGGTGAATTAGCTTAACAAAGGGGGTATTTGTAGTTTATCTTTTACTCTCAAACTTTGTGTCTAGGTACCCACTGACTAGGCTGCAATTCCTGCCTTTCTTGTATGCGTTGTCCATACACTAGCAGGAACTGAGCAGGAAATAGGCTGAAGTTAAGATTTTTTGGGGGAAGGGGGGTGCAGGTCATTGGAGTCTAGAGATATCCTTATCCCTAAAAGAAAAGGCAGAGAACTCGGAAGGATCAGTCTTGTCGTTCTCCACAGGGCAAGAGTCTCACTAATTTGGAGCTGAGATTAATTCAGACCTCTCTAGGTGGTCTCTTGGGAAACATCCCAGTTGCAAATCTTACCACTAAGTGCTTCTGGGTAGCTTCTGTCCTTCCACCCTATTTTTCCAGTCTGCTTTGTTCTAGACTTGTAGGTTGTATCCTTTAATTTCTACCTTCTTAGGTTAGTTTTCTGTAACAGAACAAGTGAACTGGGATGAGGTCCTTAAAGTACCCCTGATGGTAATTGTTTTGTCTTTGTAATAGCTTAACAAATAAATCTAGGTTTTCTATATTATTGCGCTGTCATTCTTGACTAAACCAATAGCAAGAAGTTTGGTTTTTTTTTTAAGGCAGTGCAAAAAAATGAGATCTTGTTGGTCTCGTTTTTGTTCATTTTCATTAAGAACATGAAATAAGAAAATGTATAGTTAGAACTTCTGGCAAATATTTAGTAAAGCAAGGATTTAACACATTTTGGGGAATTTCTGCTGCTTCTCCTTGGATCAGGAATAATTTTGTATATTAGCTCTTTTTAGTTCTTATAGACATGTGGGTTATAAGGCTGATTTGTTGTTAATAGACAGACTGGACTTAAGGCACCACTATGTGTGTAGTGTTAAAAATAGGTGGGGCGGGGCACAAGGTTACATAAATTACTCTGAGTTGCTTGGCTAATTATTAGTTAAATTCTAGTTTGATACCCCTCAGCCCAGTGTCATTTCCCCGTTTTCACTTGGTTCCCTAATCTTGCCAGGGAGACCAAAGAAAACTCATTTTCCTTTTTTACCCAGACTCAGAAATTCTGCATCTCTTATAATAGGCAAGTTAAAGAGCCACTTGGAAATGAAAGCTAAAATTTTGAGACTTCTCTGAATCGGCCACTGTCCTGGGTTCTTTACATATATTATGCACTGTGATATACTTAGTAACAGACTTATTTAATAACTTATTATACCATTTATAGATGAAGAAACACAGAAGAGAGGTGAAATGTCTTACGGTCACATACATTTTGAGCTGTAGTTTTTAAGCCTGTGCTCCAAAACACCATATAGCCTTATGACCTAAAGGCAGTTGAAAGGAATCAAATTCTCCCTTCTCTACAGGGTTTTGATTTTCAAATTTCAGTAGACAGCATTGGAGTTTCCCAAGTTTCTTTGCTACCCGTCTGAACAATATCCATGCTTCAGTAAGGACTCTGGACTTTCTCTTGGACCTATTTTAGAAAATCCATTTAAGTTTCTTTGTCAGTGGACATATTCATAATCATGACTTTTGACAGAACAGGTGATTCTGTGCACTATTTTCCTGTGGGTGTTGCTGGGTCAGCCATTGTGGATAAGGCAGCACACAAAGAGATAGGAGACCCAGCCTCTAGTGTCGGTTTGGGAGACATGATGTTTAACCTCTGGGCTTGTTTCCTCCTCTGAAATGAGAGGATTAGACTAAATAACTTTTGAAAGATTTAACTCTTAATATTCTGTAATACTAGATAGTTAAGTCCATGACTTTGGGGAAAAGATTAGGCCAGACTATTAAATATGAAATCCGTAATTATAAGCAGGCTGACACTTATTCTGTTTGAGCTTAATTTTAATGTTACTGGAATTACTCAGTTTGCATGTTCTTCTTTTTTTTTTTTTTTTGGTCTTTTTTGAGGCAGGGTCTTACTATGCAGTTCAGGCCGGCCTTGAGCTCAGTTTGTAGCCCAGGCTGGTCTTGAACTCACAACAATCCTCCTGCCTTAGCCTCCCAGAGTGCTGAGATTACAGGCATGTGCCACCATGCCTGGCCTGCATGTTCTTGTTGTAGAGAAATTTTAAAGGCATAGGCATCTTTCTCTTCCTTCCCAAATGTGCACCATCTAAAATATTCCTAAAAGTTAGGGTTAGTGGTTCTGTTCTAGGTTCTTTTATTTTAAAAATATGGTCTATATGGATTTCCTGCTCCCTCAGATTAGTTTGTCAGATATTTACACTTTTCAGGCATGCTTAAATTCTTAGGTGTTTTGAGATTCTGTTAGTATCTTCCTTGGTGTTGGTAAAAGTAAGAGATTCTGTACAGATGATTATAATGTGTAGACCTTTGCTTTAGATAGATGTGACTGATGATAGTTCAGAAATACTTAATATTTGAAATTGGCTTCATCTGTAGGATTTCAGTAGGCTTACAAGTTAAGCTAATTCTCTTTTTTTTTTTTTTTCTTTTTGAGACAAGGCCTCGCTCTTGAGTTCAGGTTGTCCCTGAGCTCACTTTGTAGCCCAGGCTAGTCTCGAACTCTCAGTGATCCTCCTGCCTCAGCCTCGCGAGTGCTGGGATTACAGGCGTGCGCCACCACGCCCAGCACGTTAATCTTATGCAGAGTATTTCCAAAATATTTATAGAATGGATGGATTCTTCTGCAAGTAATTTAATTCCAAGCAATATTGCTTACATGAGTTTTAATAGATTATTGCCTTCGTTGATAAAAACTCTGGAATATCTTTAAGATCTTATTCTATACAATATACATAAATTGATGTCTAATTTGAGGGGTTTTCTGATTTCAAAAGAGAAGTCAGAAAAACTTCTGAGAGAAGTGAACTGGGTTAGGATTCTGTTTTTAGCTTAATTTTTTTTTTTTTTTGGTTTTTCTCCGGTACCGGGAACTGAACTCACGACCTTGCGCTTGCCAGGCAGGCGCTTTTGCCGCTGAGCTAAATCCCCAGCCCCTTAGCTTAATTTTTAAAGAGAGAAAAATGACAGGTGCCAGGTACATATCTGTAATCCCAGCTATTCAGGGGATCACAAATCTGAGGCCAGCCTGGACAATTTAGAGAGAATTTTTCTCAAAATTTCAGAGGGCGGGGCTGGGGATTTAGCTCAGTGGCACAGCGCCTGCCCGGCAAGCGTTAGGTTGTGAGTTTGATTCCCGGTACCGGAACCCTCCCCCCCCCAAAAAAAAAATTCAAAGGGGTGGGGGCGTAGCTCAGTGGTAGAACATTTGCCAAGCATGTGTGAGGCCATAGGTTCAATCCCCACTACTGCTAAAGAAAGAACAAAATAAGAGCTCTATAACTTAGAGATAAGGCTAAATAGCTAAAAGTGTATACAGGCTAGCTAATAAATTTTTTAGGATTATTTTGCAGATTATGTGAGTCATAAAATACACATAAAGCACTTCAACAACTAACTAGAATTAGCTCAGAAGATGCCAGTTATTACCGATAATAGTAATGACTTATTTTCATAATAGAACTTTAACATTAACCCAGCACGTAAGCATACATCTGAAAAGTTTGAAATTTAAAACTACTGAGCAATTAAAATAGACTTCATGAAATCCATTCATTTTTTTCCATAGGCCCCTTCAGACCTTCCCTCCAAGTCTCTTATTCTGTAAAGAGGATTAAGGCACTGGAAAATGTAGTTTATAGACATACAACAGGTTAGTAAAAGATACAGTAGTGGTTGTGTCAGAGCATATCAGTAGCAGCAGTGAAGAGTTGACAGCATTATAAAGCCACACACATACTCCCTCAAAGTAAGTAGTCTAAGCCTATATAACATACAGTACAGATAGTGACAACATTGAATATAAAGATACCACAGCAGGTTTTATAAAATTACAACTTGGTGTCAGCCCAAATTTTGAAAGAAGTATTTTAATATTATGGGAAAAGGAGCCATGAAGTAGTAAGTGATATTCAGCTTCAAGTTTAGAAGTCAGAGGACCATTTAAAGGGAGTAACTATTTTGTGTTCTGGCCTAGGATTACTGCAAGATCTTGGTGGGTTTTTGTGGGTTTTTTGTTTTTTGTTTTTTTTTTTTGCAAAAGAATCTAGACCTATGGATATTTGTGTGGAAACAACTTAAAATTGTGGTTTTGTTTGTTTATAGATAGGGCCTCATTACGCAGTTCAGGCTAGCCTTGAACTCACTGTGTAGCCCATGCAGGCCTTGCACTTACGGCAGATTCATGTAGTCCATCTGCTGTGCCTCCCAAGTGCTGGAGTGTTGGGATTACAAACATGCACCACCACATCCAGCATGGCTTCTTATTTTAAATACTGAGTCAGCCCAGTAAAACATATCATTGATCTATATAGCATTTAACTATTGAGCCACAATTTTGTGACCTCTGATTTTACATGCTACTCTACTCTGGTATGTTTTGTTTAAAAGTTAAAAAGACAAAGTCCCTGGTTATCAGACTGGCTGCCTTCTTAGGCAGGCTCAGCAATAAGCTGTACCTAGTTCAGTCTGCAGGTGTAAGTAGAGCAACTGTCTACAAGCTGATCTCTAAGCATCACTTAAGTTACCTGGCAGCTTATCAGTTACTTGTTAATTGATTAGTGTTACTCAAGCAGATCATATCTACCCTCCTTTTTTTGAAACAACCTTCAAATGTAATTCTGATAATGGAATTGCCTTTGAAGAGAAACACACTTACCTTTTATGATGTTAACTTTTGATAAAAATTAGACCTCAGAAAATAAAAAGAGGGCACAGCACGCTGCCTGCGACCAACAGCTCTGTTCCCTCTGCCTGTGCACCCGTACCCGCTAGGGCCACCGCTCAGCAGCTGGTAGGAGGATGGCGTCTGGTGGAGAGCAGAGGCTTTGAGGACTACTGAAGGAGTTAGGAGTGGGAGTAGCTATGCGAAAAATGGCTGCTACGGCTAAGCCAGATTCTGTCATGGCTTGTGACGGCAGCCACCTCACCATGAAAAACGAGAGCACTCTGAAAGAGTACAGTTTTCTTGTAAGCTGGGAGAGAAGTTTGAAGAGACGACAGCTGATGGCCAGAAACCTCAGACGGTCTGCACCTTTACCGACGGTGCGTTGGTTCAGTACCAGGAGCGAGGTGGGAAGGCAAGCACAATTACCAGAAAATTGCAAGATGGGAAGTTAGTTGTGGATTGTGTCATGAATAATGTCACCTATACTTCGATCTGTGAAAAACTAGAATAAATATTCCATCATCACTTGGACAGGAATTAGCTTTGAGAATGAATAAGCTCAGTTTAATGAGCAAATCTCCATACTTATTTTTTTTGTCATTACTTTGGGCAGTTACCCTTATCTCAAGCATTTTACATGTAACTATTTCTGTTTTTTGTTTGTTTGTTTGTTTTTGTTTTGTTTTTTTCCTGACACTGGGAATCAAACTCATGACCTCACACTTGCCAGGCAGGCACTGTGCCACTGAGCTAAATCCCCAGCCCCTACATGTAACTATTTCAAAGTGATGATTTCACCAGGATCATCTCTTTCGTTAGTAAATAAATAATTCTGTTTATGCTAAAAATAAATAAAATAAAAGGCTTCTGATAGAGGAAAAACTGAAGTTTTTTTTGAGACAAGGTCTCTGCAGGTCAAACTGGCCTTGAACTCACTATATAGCCTAGGCTGGTCTTTTTTTTTTTTTTTTTTTTTTTTTGGTTTTTTTCTCCGGTACCGGGAACCGAACTCACGACCTTGCGCTTGCCAGGCAGGCGCTTTTCTGTCTTTTTGAGACAGGGTCTTGCTATGCAGTTCAGGCTGACTTTGGCCTCCCTTTGTAGCCTTGCTGGTCTGGTCTCAAATTTGCAACGATCCTCCTGCCTCGACCTCCCAATTGCTGGGATCACAGGCATGCGCCACCACACCTGGCTTGGCTGGTCTTGAACTCACAGTGATCCTCCTGCCTCAGCCTCCAGAGTGCTGCGATTACAGTTGAAGATTCTTTAAACCTCAAAAAATATTAATTCTTAAATTTAATTATTAGTAAAAAATTGTAATATTTCTTCGGAACCTTCAGTTTTCCTTTAGTCAGAATAATGACTAAGAAGTTTTGGATTGAAGTAAAAATCTAAAGATAGTATTTGGCTCTGTGTGACCTTGGGCAGAGCAGTAGTTACAAATCCTCTAGGCTTAACTTCCTTTTCCATAAGATGGAAATAAAAACTATGTCCTGTCTACCGCACAAGGTGCAAATGTGAGTGTGAAAAGCTTAAATCTTGATTTCTGTGGTGTACTGTTGTGTTAAAGAATCAACTTCCCTGAAGACTGAGATTGTCTACTTAGAGAAAATATTTTATTAGATCGATATCAAATTAGACTATATTTAAAATTTAGGAAACCCCTTGAGGATCAGCAGTTATATCGTCTGCTTCCAAAAGCACCTTTCTTAGTGAAAGATGACACCACTGATGGTGTGAGGTAGTGGCTGAAAAGTATCTTCTCTCCAGTTCTATAAACAAAACCAGTTGTACTTTGGTTAGAAATCTTGTTCATTCAGGTCACCCCAGTGCACAGTTTCTCTGGTCCTGCTCTCACCTTCCCTTCCACGGTCAATTTTACACAGTATCATGAAAGTTAAGAATTATTTCAGGTTTCTGTGAAGTTTAATGACTGGGCCTTTTTAAAGCAGCATTTAGGGGCCGGGGATTTAGCTCAGCGGCAAAAGCGCCTGCCTGGCAAGCGCAAGGTCATGAGTTCGGTTCCCGGTACCGGAGAAAAACCAAAAAAAAAAAAAGCAGCATTTAATACAACACTCAGAAGAACAAGTTTTAACTGAGAAATACAGAATTCCTCTTTTTTATAGTAATTTTCTAAGTCCCATGATGAAAACTTTTAAGACAACTTCCTCGGTGGAAATTAAAACATTGATGAATCCAGTGCAGCTAGTATTTTGAGTATGAGGTAATAAAATCTTTATCATATCCAGCGTGACTGTCTTGTAACTCAGTCTGAGCTTTTGGAATAGTTATTCCTTTTTATTAACTATTTGGTTGTTATGCAGCCATGGAAGGAAAAAGCTGAACATCAAAATCATCAACAGTATACCTGAAAGACAAAACACAATTAAAAACAAAACAAGGAAGATATAATCACTGTTTGGGTATAAATTAGTATTCTCATATTTTTCTTCAATCATGAATCCTTAAATATAGTTTGTACTTGGTAAACGCAGTAGGATCTAAAACATGAATTCAAAGGATAAGCAAACTCCAAGATGAAGAGTTTTAGTTCTGGTCCCAGTTCTGACCTGCGGAGAAAGCCTGGTCGTGGGTATTCGTGTGCTCCTGTGTGAAGTGACAGCTCTCCTTCCCTGCTGGGACCCAGGACGGGAGCCCTTGAAAGCAGTGGGTTTTCATCCGGAAGTTCAATAAGAACAATGTCCTGCACATTGCTTTCTCTTTCTTACTAGCACTCAGCCATTAGTAGCTTTTAGATGTATCAAATAAAATCTTTTAAACAATTTCAGCTAATGCTAATTTTTTTTAATTTTTTGATTGATACACTTTCAGTTATACAATGATTACACTCATTGTGTGGAGTTGATGGATGTACACAGCACGTCTTAATTATTTTTACATCTCTTTGCCCTTCTTTTCCCCTTCCTCCATTTCTTGGTCTTCTTCCCATTTTGCAATTTTAAATATAGTAAAAAGACTTCTTAAATTCACATATTAGTAAATCTTCATTTTTTTGCTTTTGTGGTGCTGGGGATTAAACCCAGAGCTTTGTACATGGTAGGCAAGGACTCTTAACACAGCTATGCCTCCAGTCCGAAATCTTTGTTTTTGAGGTTAATTTTTCAGTTTGAAATAAGGCGACCTAAAGTCTAAAAATTGCTATCTCAAAAGGGAATTATGCAATAACCTTAAATAACCTTTGTTAGGGTTAAAGCTCTAGGGTTTACATTCAAGTTGTAAAAGTGAGATTTTATTATATACAGCCTTGAAACCATTTTACTTTTTTGGCAACAACAGAAAATCTCAGCATTTGATTAGCATTTTGATACTCTTAATAGTTTTTTGAAAGATACATATATAACCAGCCTGTATATGAAGAAGTCAGATACAGTCCCTTTGTTAACTGACCCCAGGTTTTGTACATTTCTTTTCTGGAGTCAGAGCTAGAAAATAAGACACGATATTTAAAACTTTACAAGACAGCACAGTGGGGCATGCCTATAATTCCAACAGTCGGAGGCTGGCAGGAGGCTCCCAAGTACAAGGTCAGCCTGAGTAATTTATTGAGACCCTGTCTCAGAATTAAAAACTGCTGGGGATGTAGCTGAGGGTGAAAGCCCTGGATTCAGTCCCCAATATGACAAAAAAAAAATTTTTAAAAACCTTCCAAAAATGGAATTGCTGTTTCATTGAAGTACACAGAATTTGCCGGATTTTATTGTGTGAAATATATAAACTAAGATAATTCTGTATTCTTTTTGTTTTTTTGAGACAGGGTCTCACTACATAATCCAGGCTGGTCTTGACTTCCCTGTGTATCCCAGACTAGCCTTGAACTTGCAGTCCTCTGCTTGAGTCTCCCTAGTGCTGAGATCACAGGCGTGCGCCACCACATCTGGTTTCCTAGTGACACTTTTAGAGTCATATTTCTAGCATTTTTAATGTGGAAAAGTGACAGAGGGCACTTACAATGATTAGAGGAATTACAGTGATCTCTTACGGTGAGAGCTTTTGCTGTTGAATTTTTTGCTTATTTTTACATTCTTTTTCTCTGTCCCTGTAACTCTTCAAACAACTCTTGTAAATTATAATTTCTTATTTTTCCCATTCTTTTTTTTTTTTTTTTTTTTTTTAGAAATATGCTAAGCTTTCAAAATTGTCAAACTTATGCTGGATTTTTCCATCTTAAACAGGAATTATTT